AGCACCATTGTCGTCTCTGAGTGAGCCATTTCAACTAATTTTATCCATTTTGTTTGGAACTTGCATGATTATAGTGTTTCAAAGAATGAGATTTAGTGTTAATATTTTTTTTATGTTTCAAATGTTCTTGTTTTGTACGCCCCCCCAAAAAAAAAATCTATTGAATAATCGTGATTTCACGAATTACCAAAATAATCAGGCTGAATAGATATTTTTCTCATAATCAAGCAGCCCTAATGATAACCCTCGTTTTGTTTGGAATAAAAGGTTATTTCAAGATACCTTTGTGTGTTCAGTGATGTTTATTTCCAACGTTCTACTCTTGAGGCTGCTTGCTCCCCCTTTAATTTGGGTGCCTTGTGTAAGGATCGCATCATCAATAAATAACATTGGCATCCAAAAGTGTGTTGAGCGGAACGAGACAAATCCGCAACAACACCCTCCTGACTTGCAGGCGACAAAAAGCGCGCATTGAAAATACCTGCCGACGCCGAGGAATGTTCCAACTCCCGTGCAGCATGAGCGGGGGTAAAAGGTGTCCCCGAGGCAAGAGTTAGACATTGTTCTCCACGGCAAATATCCTCACACAACCTGCTCAACTCTGTCTGTCTCTTAAGCTGGAGAAGAGAATACAATGTTCCCTCTCATCCTCCCACTCGCATCGTTTTCTACCTCTGTGAGGCGGCCAGCTTGTGTTTGTGAGAAACGCGCTGCGAGACGACGATAACCACAATGACTATCACAGCGAGGATAAAAATACTCCTCCTAGCATCCAAGTCATCTTAGCTTTAGAGCCCCGAGGCAGATTTCCTTGAATTTTGCCTAATTCTATCATTGATACAGATATGTGGACGACCATTCGCTTACCTGGGAAAAATAAAGCATGAGGAGAAACTGATGCAAGAGGATGCAGGCTGAGCTGTCTCTCAGAGGGCTTTGATATTCTTTTCTTCCACAGTAAACAAAAAAAAATATTGGAACCCCAGTAAACAAAGAAAATATTGGAAAAGCTCAAGACACTTAAAGTGATGAAACTACAGTCCTAGATACCCTAGCTAGCTCCTAAAAACACGCTTTAATATTTTAGTCAAACTGAATAATATTAACTACATCTGGTACACCAGAAAGAAGTGTTGTTAACAACCCTGCCAAATTTTAATGGTTTAAAAAAAAAAAATCACCAAGTGTATAACATGAGGCTTGGGTGAAGGTGTGACACCATGCCCAACTGAAAAATGAATGCTACTTAGGCTAGCATCTTTTTTATGTCTCCATACATTACATAAATGGATAAATAGATTCACTTTTAGCCTGAAAATATCCCACCGGATTATTGCGGGGCTTTCCGAGCAGCGACAAGAGGCGCTAGCCACCAGCTAGCCTAGCTAGCGCACTTAGAAATAATAATAATAATGTAACTGGCAATTGCGCCAAATGACCGCACACTCACCCCTTAAATCTTAATTTTTCATCTTACCGTGACATTTTGGACAAGTAAATCTTCATTTTTCATCTTACCAAGACATTTTGGACAATTGTACACTTCTATCTTTAACCCAGCCGCTGGGGGGCAGTGCCCTCCCCTGGGGGTGCACTGTTCCCCAGTGCCGGTCCCAAGCCCGGAGAAATGGGGAGGGTTGCGTCAGGAATGGCATCCGGCGTAAAACTTTTGCCAAGACGACCATGCGAGTTGGTAGGACGGTTTACAGGGGCGGATGGAAATTACTGACTCGCTGTGGCGACCCCTGAATAGGGACGTGCCGAAAGGAGAAGAAGAAGAAGAAGTACACTTCTATCTTTGTGGTAGTTAAAGGCCCTTCCCTGAACCCTATCAAACACCTTCAGGATGAACTACAACAAGAGAGAAACATTTCATATGACTATTTCAACTGATAATGTTTTTGTACAATTTTGGCTGAATGTTTGGAGCCAGTGTCACATCAAGCAAGAATAACCCAGCCCAGAGAAGTTGGATCTGAGCATGGACGCGGTTCAATTCATCATCCATGACTCATGCTTGGCTTCTTTTCCCGGCAAACAAATAGAAACTATACACCTCTCCTAGAACGCCGCACAAATTTGTCAATTGCTTCAAGATGCAATTTATCAACAACCATTTCCACACAAATTATGACTTAATGGATTATCTTCTTTTTGTCATTCATATCATGTCATCCTTGCCACAATGTCACGTTGACATCCTCCCACCGATGTCAAAGTGATCGACAAAAGCGGCGGAAAGTCACCCTTTGGACCTCTCTAAATCGTCCGCTACTCAACAGCCCCTCGACAAGGTTGCGTCCTTGTTTTCGAGAACCCTGCATGTTAAATCGCCGCCCGTGTTGAAACGTCCAAAGTGATTTATTTACCGAAAAGGCTTCGCATTCTACCATCGTGCGACACACAAACACGAGGGCTCTCCTCGGCCGCCTCACAACGGCCGCAGTGTTCGCGTGTCAGCACTGGGTGCTAACATTAAAAAAAAAAAAAAAAAAAACACATCCAAATAAAGCTACAGGGGAGGAGGTACTCTACAAACGGCAACAGTCTGTAATATGTTTGCGGCCATGATCGGCCCTTTCTAAACAAATTAATCCTGCTGTGCTCCACATTACTCATCCCGAGCAAGCTGTCTGGACCGATTCTGCTTCAGTTGCACACTTGCTTGATGGTGCGATATGTTATGACGGGCAAAGGGGTCAAAGAATTTTGCGAATATAGAGCGACAGTAACAAAAAAAAAAAAAAAAAAAAGATGTCTCCCCGCACTTTCATGAGCGTGTCACATTCTGTGGGCTGAGTCGCTCTCTTCATTGCGCCGGGTTTTCAAGTCGCATTGTGTGTGTGTGTGTGTGTGTGTGTGTGTGTGTGTGTGTGTGTGTGTGTGTGTGTGTGTGTGTTAAACCAGCCGCTTTCTATGCTCTGACGTCCGTGTGCTAATCGCTTTGGCTGATCCCCGCTAGTGGCGCATGTGTGTAGGTACTGTGTGTGCGTCTGGCTGTATGTGCAAAAGCATCCAACGCCTGTGTGCGTGCGTGCTCGTGTATGAGACAGATGTTTCCCGTGTGGTGGTATTGCTCACCACACACACACACACACACACACACACACACACACACACACACACACACACACACACACACACACACACACACCAAGGAGGATTAACCGGCTCTTTTACTTATTTATTTGCTGCCTGAATCCCACCTACCCCTCGTGCCTCAATCCTCATCCTTAATCCCTAGTAGCAAACGAGACTGCAGGTGGGGCAAAAGTAATATGGCACTATACGACAGGAAACTTTCGAAAATAACTCCGGTGCAGACCGGTAAGGACATTTGTACACGCAGCGGCAACGAGAAATAATCCACAATCAAATAAAGTCCATTTTATGCTCAAAGACGAGCACGCAAACAGTGTCGAGGTGTCGTACAATTACTACAATGTGATTAACATTCCTTCATGGTTATTCACGATTGCGACAACCTTGAGCAACAGAAATAAAGACAAGAAATAGAAATAATCGAGGGAGCCCTTGCTTATCTCCTCTCCTTAACTTTAGTGAGTGAACCGTCCTCCGATGCCTCATGCAGGTGCTTTGATGAGCTTGCGCGATATGAAATTTTTGCAAAGTCTGCACTGTCTTCAAACTATGTACCGGTGATAACTTTAAAATGCGTCCAACTTTTACTTCACCTTATCTGTGTGCACGCATGCCGTTTTAACAGAAAAAAAAAAGGAGATGAATCGGCTCCCAATCAGGAGCCAACTCCTTTCGGTCACTTCAATTATTTTGAGTCAACACAAATACAAGCAGCCCGCGTTCATGATTACAGAAATCGGATAATATTTACTGTTGGGAAACTGAAATCCTGAGCATTTGGACAATTTTAAATTAAAAATAACGATTGATTAATTTGAAGATGGATTTGTTGTCAATTAATCTCTACACATCAAATATCATTCAATGAATGCGATCACTCCTTACGCTGCCAATTGACATTGAAATGAGCACAAATAATCCTGAATGTCCGTCCACGAGACCTGCTGTCGTTATCACTTGACAAATTTCCTCACCGTGCGACTTACGGTTGTATTATTTTCACTTAACATGAATGCATCACGTATGTGTCAGGTCAATACAGGCGACATCACCACCACCTTGTGCAAAAGAAACAGAAAGACTACAAAACAATCTAACAGAGCCAAACAAGGCGCATTGTACGGTAGGTGCAGATGATTCATTTGATTCCCCCTCTCTAAAGTTATTCATGTGAACCGCCACCGAGCACAATAGAAATAAACACAAGTATAAATCATGCACCAATCAGGAAAGTTCCAGTAATGCAATTTTGCAAAATAAAGCGGCCAAGACAGGAGAGCGAGTATTGAATTCAATTCAAATTTTTTACAGGCCTCGATCACAAAAGGGTTTCAATAATATGGGCGTTGTTTAATTCTGCAGCCAGCTATGTGGTTACCTAATGAAGTATATCATCAGTTAATACTATTCCCCGTTCAACAGTTTGGATTTATCCACTCAAGAATGGCAAAAATGTGGCATTTTTCGAGGAATGGGCGTCTGTGGCGCATTTCTCCTTGTGTGTACACTGTGCTGACACAGGCCACTGGCTTCTCGGCTGGGATTGACTGGCTGGCTTTTTTCCCCCCCTCTCTTTCTCTCTCTCTTTTTTTTTTTTTTTTTTTTTTTTGGCCAGAGCCAAACAGGATCCTGCACAGCTCCTCATAAACAGCAGCTGCTCAGTCCCTCCCCGGCTGGCAGCCCAGGAGGGTCCAATCAAAAGCAGCCACATTGCTCCCTCACTTTGCCTTTGCGTGCCAACTCTGCTCAGAGAGTTAGAGGGGGGAAGAAGAAGGCAGGAAAAAAAAAACAAAACAAAACAGTCAAGACGAAAGACAGAGCGAGAAAGAGGGAGGGGGAGGCAAAAAAAAAAGTGTGCACAATCCCTGCCTGTATAAGAAGCTTGCGTGATCTCTGACCTTGTCGGTGCTGCCGCTGCACCCTCCCTGCCCGGACCCCTCATGTATTCCTCGCGTGGTCCCTCGCCGAGCCCTCCTCAAGCGGCCGATCTGAAGGAGAAGAAAATGCTGTTGAATGGGAAGCCCGCTTCAAACAACAGGACAAAAAAAAAAAAAAAAAGCGGCACGGCGTTGAAAAATGTATGCGTCGGGAAGCCATCAGGGATTTGCCTATACGGACCCGCATTTGCTCTCGGCCTCACAATGACATGGATGTACTTACTGTACATATAGTGTACGTACTGTATATAGCAGTCAAGTCGCTCCCTCCCTCCCTGCGCAGAGGAACAATGCCCTTCCTAAAGGTTATCGGCAGCCTTGGTCAACCTCATCCCGAGTCCATTACACACCAAATTCAGCGCCTCAGTACGGGCGCTTAGCCTCTCCTTGCTGCTCCTTTTACAGGCTGATACGGCATCTGTTACAACAGGCATCATGCAAATGACTTAATTCAATCACCACACAAGCATGAATATGAGCGCATATCATTAGAAGGACAAGACGGATATGGCGCGCCCACTGTTTGGCCACTTTCCCGTTGGACAATGATAGCGTTTTCATTTTGCACATCCGCTCTCAATGGATGATTTGGTTGAGTTTGCCGACGTGCAAAAAGGAACACGGTGCTGCAGCAAAAGATGATGGTTTCAAATATAGGTCTGAAAAGGCAATTACCGTAATTTCTGGACTACAGACCGCACCTGATTATAAGACGCACCACTACATTTTTAAAGGAAAAAAATATTTTGTACACACATAAGCCGCACCTGTGTATAAGCCGCAGGTGCCAATATTGTAACATGAGATATTTACAAAGAAAGACGGTACACAGGCGGCCGTTAGAAAAGTCTTTATATAAGCCGCTTCATGAAATAAGCCGCAGAGTTGAAAGCGTGTGACAAAAGTCGCGGCTTATAGTCCGGAAATTACGGTAAGTTATTAACCCTTTCATGTAACAATAATGATAACCTGCAATCCGATAACATAATAAACTGTCAATTGAAGTGACCGCTGTGCCTGAAAGGGTTCAAGAAGGGTTTCGGGACAGGGTTCAGGTTTCAAGCTGCAGGTGGCGTTTGAAAGTAGGGTTTCAATACAGGGTTGGGGTTTCACACTAGGGTTTGTAGTCAAGAGTTCTTTTTTTTTTCTCTCATGCCATTTGTATCATATTTGATACATGTATTTTCATTATGTAACTCATTCTTTATATTACATTGAATCATCTGTATCAAATTTGACATTGCAGGTTTAAAGTATGATTTCCCCCAAATTTTCCTTTTTAGATGTAATCTACATAATGCTTATAAATGGAATACGACAAATATCTAAAACAACATGATATTGCAAAAATATTTTTGTGGATTTTGTTATAAGGGTTAATGAACATCTCAGTTCCCAAATATCAGATTTTTCTGGCTATTCCTTGATGGGTCTCACATTATTTAAGACTGGGTTACGGCTTCTAGCAAAGGTAAGGTTTCAAAGTATAATTTTAGGCTAGAATTGGCATTTCAAATGGAGTTATCAAAATGAATTGATTCGTCAACAATTATTTTAACAATGCTGTCATCCTTTCAAGCCATTGTTCCACCTAAAATTGTTCCAATACTCCGATTTCCGCCTCTCAACAGCAACTATTTCTGCTGTCCTTCAAGAAGGCAGACTGATTATCTGTTTAATCAAAATTTGATATTTGCAAACATCTGCTTTTACTTTGGAAAACAATGACCCATGCAGTAAAAGAATCCCTTTCAAAAAGGTTGGTGGGTACAACATCAATCCCTCTCGTGAGAGGAGGTTTGGCGTTTGGAGCCCATCCAAAAAGAAGAAGAGTGAAAAGGGGGGGGGGGGGTGCAACGGCATAAATACGCAGGGAGGCGAGCAGGTGTCACAGACAAATGTGATTTACAGGGCCTGTGTTCCATACAGTGCTGACACGTAAGCCTATTAGGCTGATATTACCCGCCTATAACATGCATCGCTGGACCCCCTTAAAAATGTGTGTATTGGAGCAGGGATTATAAAAACACCCCCCACCCCCTCCGTTGAATTGGACAAACACCAAATACTCAAAAGCATTAATTACAATCACCCGAGATGATTCGATTCAAGGTGCTAGCTATAGCATTAAAGCTTCCAGGTTGATGGTTAGCGATCGGAAGAGCCGAGATGCGGCGTCAAAGTAATGCAAACAGTTACACCTGCGGGGTTGTAAGGCGGCGCCACACCGGCGCACGCAGAAAATTGCTAGCGCTTGAGCGCCGCTGAAAATACTCATAGGAATTGATGGTGATACAGTGGAAGCTTGATTTTTGTGATTAATCTGCTATAAAAAGCCCGACGGGAAAAAAAAAAAGAAGTGAATAGGATGAAACTAAAGCAATAGTTCCCACGGGAAATAAACGACATTAACAAGTTCCAAAATCTTCTCAAAAATACATTTGGTGAGGAACCACACACGGCCATCAAACAGTCAACACTAGCCACCCCGCTGAGTGACAAAAAAAACAATCGCAGTTTGTTAGCGTGTCACGTTCTAATATGTGCTCAGTGCGGCGTGGTTTTCAAAGTTTCCTGCACCAAAGCTCCTAACCACAACAATTACTGGTTGTACTAAAACCTCACCGAGGATGTTGTGTTTGTTATTGGGGAGACACTTCGGGGAGCATGGGCAAAGCAAGACACCATAAAACTCAAGCATGCTTCCGGATAAAAGTGCTGATCTGGGACTGTTTTTTTTTTCTTTTTCAATTTTATGAAGACTTTTTTACGTTCTTTGCTTTTTCAGGGGATAATGTGTGAATATTAATGTCGGACCAAAGCGTCTTTGGTCTCTCTGCTCTACTGAGTGCCCTTCTAGTTATAATTGGGGAAGATGAGTTGAAGTCAAACACTGCAGTTCGCCAAATACAGGTCTCACTTGTCATAGATGCCCTGCCTCAATTATTCACAGCGTCTAATTTTAAACCCATTTAAGTGTGGAGTCTTATCAACTGTCACTTGGATGTTGTTCATCCTGATGTTGTATTCAAGATAAATTTTGTATTCTAATTGTACTTTCAAAATTAATATGAACCCTTTCATGCACCCTGTAACCTGATAACATGAAATGCTGTCCACTGTAGTAACCGCTGTCCCTGAAAGAGTTTTAAAAAAAAAATACAAAACTGTGAGATGAATATACAATTTGGCTCCATTCTATTTGTGCTTGCTGGTGTGAATCCAAAATTTAAAAAGACCGGTGCAGACATAGTCGCACAGCCATGATGCATACACCGCGTCGCTCACGGAGGAAAAAAGGCCTATTAAAGCCAAACTCATCTCCTTAAAGCGGGTGCGGCCGTCCCTTGGTGTTTTAACACAACTACTCACCAATTGTTAAATCAAAGGGGGGGTGGAGTGAAGGTAAAAAAAAAACAAAACAAAAAAAAAAATCAATGCCCCCCAACACCAGTCGATGATGTTAGGTGCAGGAGCCAGACACTGCAGCAAAAAGCAGAAGACGGAAGGCAAAAGTCCATCTCGGGCTGAGAGTGGTTGGTTAATATGTATCATCATTGATTATCTCTATGCAAATAGAAGACCTCGACAAAGCAGAGTGTGATTTAAAACACGCCGGGGTCAGAAATCGATTGGCTGTGCGAGCCCGAGGAGCCGTTTCCCACTTGCCGGGATAAAACACTTGACTGAGAGCTTCAAGATTCTTATCAGGAGGAAATTAGTGGTGAAATAGCAGTTTACCAAAACAAATAGGCCCCTCCTCCTTCGCGCTGCCTCTCTCTGATATCATTGTCATCTCTTATTTCCTCCCCTCCAGTTAAATGCCATCAGTGAGAAACTGCATTTCATTCAAACAGGTCATTTTGTAATAGAAACAAAACAAAACAGAAAAAAAACAGAGCAAGCCGTCGTTTGAAGGAGAGAAAATGAGGTCTCCGGCTTTCATGGGCTCCTGGGAGCAGCCTCGGGAGCCTGCCAGCGCCCGCACGCACACACTGACGTAAGTCCGACGCCAATCTTGGAGCCAGATCGCACCAAAACAATATTTGTCTTGTTGGCCTGCCGCCTGCGTTCCCAGCTTTAAAGAGAAAGGAAAACACGCAATGCAAAGAGGTGGGGGCAACCCACACCGGGCGGCCTTGTCAGCGTGCGGGGGGGAAAAAAACGTCGGCAGGTAATTACGACAACGCCGCGTTCCCTCGGCGGCGACGCGGCGATTCAGTTTTTGAGCACTTGGCCTTCCTAAAATCTCCCCGAGGACAACATCTGATATGATAACAAAGAGTTGTTTGGCGAGCAGCGCCGTATCCTCTCTACTCCAGATCTCGCTTTTACTCCCTTTACGATTGTCGGAAGATTTCGGGAGAGAAACGGCGTGACATAAAACAACCTCGCCCGGCGCCGCCACCTGTTGCTTTGCGCTCTCCTGCAATTCGATGACAGTGAGCCCTCGCTTTTCGGCACAAAAACTCCGACGCGAATAGCAATTTTATTTATTTTTTTTTTAAATAAAAAAAAATAATAGAAACTAACACCCTACAGTCATCTTAGATGTTTCTGTAACGTGAAAAATTATTCCACTGGGCTAAATCACTGAAAAACCATTTCCACCATTAATATAACCAATAACCTGTATGACACAATTACTCATGAAAAGCTTATGAGAACATCTGAACTTTTGAGGGGGGGGGGGGTTAATCAGAGGCACTTTAAATAGGGTCGGGTGTGTTCAAAATCACATTTGGTCGTTTCTGTGTTGACCAAGCCATAAAACACAATATTCTGTGAGCCTTGAAAGATCGGCCAGACTGCTCTGCATTGTCTGCCACTCAAGGGGTTCTCTTTTTTGTTTTTTTTTTTTTAATGGCTGGCATTGAAAGAGTTAAAAATAGCTACTGTCATGCCTTCACAAGACCTCTATCGTTTGCGAGCTTGAGCTTTTTGATGATCTGAGGAAAAAAAAAAGATGATGTACCACTTCCACCACATACTTCCTGGACACAAATGACTACTCTACTGGCACCATCTTAGGGCGTTACATAAAAAGCACC